CGTAGACCACACGAACCACCGCAGCCTGGTTGGGGTCTCACCATCCTCCACCCACCCTGGACCCAAGACAAGAATCCAGCTTCCAGTGGGTAGACCTCTCCTAGTCCAGAGAGAGTAGCAGAAACAGCTCTTATAAGAACTAGTGATTATTCTCAGGGGAGTATTGTGATATAGCAATCCCCAGAGTGAATGTAGTTCTCCAATCCCCCAAACATGAGCCAAGACTTCATGAAGGGGTAAAATGAATCTCAGTTTAATGGGAGTCACACTTGCCCTTATATGACAATCCCCATGCAAGGGGTACGCCCACAGGGACCTTGTGGGGGACTTATTTGCAACTTTACAGAACAAAAACAATAAGGTTACAAGGCAAGACACTCCCACACAGCACACAATCCATCCCCTCTGCCTGGGAGATAATTGGATGAGTAACTGTAATAATTCTTATCCAATTATCTCCAAGCACAGAAAAAACATACTTTTTAAAAACACCCCAAAAGTACGCTAAAATTACATAAAACCCCACAAATTGGATAGCCTTGATCTGGGTGACCAACATATCCAAACATCACCCAGATCAGTTCAGGGGTTCAGCAATTTCCTGGAAGTCATTTATTTGCCCGACCGTAGGCATGGTCCCATAGACGAAAATTGTTCCATAAAATCGGTGCTAAGTGCCGCTGGACGACAGACGGGGAACCATGAAGTCTTCAGGCTGAAAATTGTTTCATAGAATCGCGGCTAAGTGTCACTGGGGAACCGACCGGGAACCGCAAAGTTTTCATGCCGAAAATAGTTCCAGGTCATTCGCGGCTAAGTCCCCCTGAAGTCTATTCGCTGTTTTGCTCCATGCGAACAAGATGGCCGCCACCTTGGGGGTCATCTATAGGAATTGTGGCCACCCAGACAAACACTTAGACCTCTACGGTGGAAATTGCAACAATGTATCAATTAAGCTTAACAAGTTCCAGGGTGGTCTCCGGTTCGCGCGGCTGCTCAGTTACCGAACCATATAATACAAATAGACAAACGGAGACATTTATATCACAGTTTACAGGGTCCATAGTCTGTGGGCTTGATGCTGGCAAGCAGGCCCCTCCAAGAACTTGTGGCAAACTCATAGGAAAAGGGGAGTTTGTCACAGCATCCCACACGAGGAGTAAGCAGCTCATGTGGCCATCTTGTTGAGCTGCGAAACCATGCCCCCAGCAAGTATAAATTTAACCCCGATGAGTATGCCATGGCTTGCAAACTTTTAAGGCCTGAATAGTAGTATAGGATTGAATATACACTGATCAAACATAGCATTAAAACCAGCTGCCTAATATTATTTAGATCCCCATTTTGCTGCCAAACCACCTCTGATGCATCAAGTAAGGGACTCCACAAGACCTCTGAATATGCCCTGTAATATCTGGCACCAAGACAATAGCAGCAGATCCTTTAAGTTCTGCAAGTAGCTGTCAGGATACACTAATATGCGCAACATGCAGAACTTCAGTAAAAATAAATAAAAACCTAAGGTGTATTACTGGGCCTTAAAGCGTCCGGATTTAACGTATAAAAAGAAACATACAATACAGGCTGACGTCAGGAATACAGAGAATACGTAAACAGTATATAAGCCAAAGTTCATGGAATATAGAAATCAGAATAGGCAGGAGCCAAGTCAAAGTTCAAGGGATCCAGAGATCAGAATAGTCAGTAAGAAAGCCAAGGTCAAAATACACAAGAAACAATACCAGAAATGTGCTCTCGGATAACCAGAATAGAAATCACAACAGGGCACAGAGAAATGTTTTAAATAGCCTAAGATGCTCTTTGATTGGCTGCAGGGCAGCATGTGACAGTGAACGTGTGTGTGTGACGTCACACACACGTCCCCAGTAGTAAGGCACTCAAAAGGTTAATTGAGAACATTAAAAGGTTCTTACTTGCAGCGGCTGGCGTCTCTAATGATTACAGACCCGGCCGTGTGTGTGGGAAGGAGTGCCTGTCAGTGAGGTCAGCAGGCATCACAGGAGGAGGTGAATGATCGGTGACATTCTCATTACCACTTAGGAATGTTGCCGCAATGAAATGTGTCCATCCGTTCCCTGGCGGGCGCCTTGAAACAAGGTAAGTTTCCCTGTTGCAATGAGGGAATGCCGCTGCGACAAGACGCGCCTGCCAGGACCTGCCCATACCGCTCTCTGGCAGCAGCAGACTCAGCGGGTGGCGTATTGAGGTGGGGCCTCCATAAATTTGTGCTACAAAAGCTCTGGGCTAGCCTTCAAATCCCACGTGCATCAATGCCTTGGGTGCCCATGACCCTGACGTCAGTTCACCACCTTGCACCACTTAGCGATAGGTGCACCACTGAATATCAGGAACACCCACAAGACTTGCTGTTTTGGAGATGCATTAACCCAGTAGTCTAGCTATCTGACCCTTGTCAAAGTCACTTAGATCTTTTCACTTGCCCATTTTTCCTGGTTCAAACACATAAAATTCAACAACTTGACAGGTGTCATTGTAACACTATCATCAATGTTATACACTTCACCTGCCATTGGTTTAATGGTGTGACTGATCAGTGTTTTATATTTGTAATATATATATATTGAATGTTTTTTTTTTCTCTCTACTGCATACTTTTTCTCACTTGAGCTGTGAAAAGTTTTGGAAATATGTTTATATCAGTGCACAGCAAATAAGATACATAATTTTTTATATTATGTTTATATTTAGCAGCACACCGATTCTCAAATGTTGCATTCTTTTAGTTTACTTTGTCTAATCTGTTTTTCCTTACAAAATTCTGCTGAGCCATATGTCTGAAATTCAGCCACATGTTTCGACATGGACATGTTTTAATTTTGGAAAAATTGGTATTGGTTTAGCCAAAACAAATTTTCTCATTGTGCACAAATCTACTTAATATCAACTAAATACTTCACTATAAAAATCATATTTGGCAGGTATACTGTTCCCTATTGTAGTTTCTATTTCTGTAGCATGTATTGATATTGTCTGTTTTCTGACGAGGTCTATTCCGTGTTTCTCTTATTGACTCTGGCTCCCCAACCTTGTGATCCTTTAACTCTGGTGTTGTCTTTGCATTAAGCCTGACTATTACAAAGATGTTTTGTGCAGTATCTACCTCTGCTATTTAATTATAATAATGTTTTACAGCTATATCAGTGTCTGAATTTTATCTTTCATCCTAACACATCCTCCTCTAGGGCTGAAATTTACTCAAATAAAAATATATACACTTTCTATTGGTATGAAAAAAACAAAAAACAGTGGATAAAAAATAGTTACATTTTTACAAAAGCTTGCAGAACTCTTTTACCAATGCCTCTGAAATAGACTGGGGGATGTGAAATACCTAAAGGGGTTGGAACTGATAGTGGTATACAGAAGAATATACAAAAAATCTGGATATGACACCGTAGAGCAGAGGAATCTGAACAGGGCAGCAGGGTCTGCATTAGGCAGAGGGATCTGAAGTGGCCAAGAGAAGTTTGCAGAAGTGAGCAGAAAAATATAAACCGATGAATTGTGTAAAAAAAGCAGGTGGAACTGACAAAGATTTTGTAGACAGCTTGTGTAGCCAAGGAGCCATGTATTGGAAAGGTATCTTTATATAAGTATATTCGGGGCCAGTACAAACCATTATGTGAAAATCTATTCATAAACAGGGCTGTACATAGGACATGAGGTCACGCATTTAAGCTGGAAGTAAGGAGAGTTCATCTAAGGCAAAGAAAAGGTTTTTTTACAGTAAGAGCAATAAGTATATGGAATTCTCTGCCTGAAGAGGTGGTTTTATCAGAGTCCATACAGATGTTTAAACTGCAATTGGGTAAATACTTGCAAAAACATAACATACAGGGATATAATTTCTAATTAGTGGGGTAATAGCTACTTGATCCAAGGACACATTTGACTGCTATTTTGGGGTCAAGAATGAATTTCTTTCCTTGATTGTTGCAAAATTGGAAGCGCTTCAGACTGGGTTTTTTGCCTTCTTTTGGATTAACAGCAAAAACATATGTGAGGAAGGCTGAACTTGATGGACGCAAGTCTCTTTTCAGCTATGTAACTATGTAACTATGTATCTGAAATAGGTCAAGGATTGTGAAATAGGCATGCAGATAAGTTTTGAGGAAAAATCGATTTCATGGAGCTGAGACCACTAGTATATAATAATGTTCTTAAAATATTATTCTCTAGAACAGGCATAGGCAACCTTTGGCACTCCAGATGTTTTGGACTACATTTCCCTTGATGTTGTGCCAGCATTATGGGTGTAAGACATTATCAGGGATGTAGTCCACAACATCTGGGGTGCCGAAGGTTGCCTACCCCTGCTCTACAACATGGTAAAAACTAGAACCTCTTCCCCAAGAGCACGGGATCATTTCCAAGTGTTAAGGATTAGAGTTGAGCGGACACCTTTATGTTTGGGTCCGGCGGGTTCGGCCGTACTTTGAAAAAAAGTCCAGGTTCGGGCTCGAACTTGACCCCGAATTTGACCCCAAACCCCATTGAAGTCAATCGGGACCCGAACTTTTGGGCACAAAAATGCCTCTAAAAAAGTCCTGGAAAGGGCTAGAGAGATGCAAAAGGAAGTAAAATGGGGTAAGAGTAGGACAAGTGCCCTGCAAACAAATGTGGATAGGGAAATCACTTGAAATAACATAAAAAAACCTAAAAATAAAAAATACAGCTGAGCCATAAAATAGCACTGGATGGAATGTTTGATTTTAGCTTTGGAAGAACATAAATCAAAGTCTAAAGCATGGCTGTCAGGAGGATCACCAGAATTATCCATTTGAGAGAGGTTTGGAGTGCAGGGTATTCTCTTTCATTGTTCAAACTGAGCTCAACTCCTGATGCATGGAGAAAAGGCCTTCACAAGCCTCTGCTATTGTGTACATAGTTTATACTAAGTGACCCATAGGTTGAGGAGGCGGTGACCATGGCAGTGTAGGTGGAAGCGGCGGTGGAGAAGGAGGTAGCCAACACAGTTTTTTTTATATATATATATATATATATATTTATTTTTAATTGGTGTAGCCCCCAAAATATTGGGACATTTAAAAAAGACAACACTGTTCTGCAGAGTAGCTGTTGACATTATAGTTGCGCGGGCACTTTGTTGACTCTAGAGAACTTCGGGCCAATCGCACATCCCTGTGACGGTGACTTTGCATTTGGATGTCATCCATATCAACTTTCAATGCCAGTTTCTGCGCCTACCATGGTGACCACGGGTAACGGGGAATCAGGGTTCCATTCCGTACAGGGACCCTGAGAAATGGCTACCACATGCAAGGAAGGCAGCAGGCGCGCAAATGACCCACTCCTGACACGGGAAGTTAGTGACAACAAATAACAATACAGGACTCTTTAGAGGCCCTGTAATTGTAATGAGTCCACTTAAAATCCTTTAATCCTGATCAATTGGAGAGAAGTTTGGTGCAGAGCCACTGACCCGTGTGTGCTGCAGCTGAAACTCCACTATCGCCTGCTGCTGCTCGCACAGTCTCATGAGGCGGTGAGCGCAAAGGCCAAAGTTATGCTGTAGCGCAGACAGGCGAGCAGCTGCAGGGTGACAAAGCCAAAAGTGCGCACTGCCGCTGCAGTGAATGTCACATCCTGTTCCAAGTTGCAAATCAGTCTGGTGATGGCTTCTGGTATCCAGTACTCTTTTTACTGAAGCTGGGTCCTGGTATGTGGCCGCACAAATGCTGGTGCTCAACACTAGGGGGCGTGCGGTTACCCTGCATCAGACCCTGCTAATCCATTCCACACTGTGACTTCTAACTTCAACATCAAGCATACTGGGTCCCGGTCGTCCAACCGCCGCCCAGACAGTGTCTGGGTCCTTGTCACTGGACTGCCCACCTGACTGTGAAACTACGAATGGATTGTTAAATCTGGTGCGAACCGGACTTTGCAATTCGGGTTCCCTCAACTCTATTATGGATCCTTTGATCACTACATGTATTACTTGGATAACTGGTAATTTTCGAACTAATACATGCCGACGAGCGCTAGGGGCTTTTGCATCCTGCTCCCTCTATGCTGTGCTGGTGCCTCTGTGCAACCAGCGCCTCTTCCTCTTCCTCCAAACTGCACATGTCACTCGCATGACCTTGATTCCATGTGGGGTCTAGGACCTCATCATCCTCCACATCATCTTCCACCCACTCCTCAACCTTGCCCTCCTTGCCACAGCAGTTGGCACCTGTGTTTTTCCAGCATGTAAAGTCTGCAAAGGATAAATGGAAATTTTTTAGAATTGTATCCAGGCAACAGTTTTACCTATAAACTGACCTTTCAGTTTGACTTGTGAGGGTATTGCCCAAGAATTACAATATTGTTTAAGTACCTTTCAGCTATTGATAACTGGTTTAAATATAGCAACTTGTTATCTGGTAGTTTCTAGTGTAGAACATATCAATATGTTTTCTATCACTTAGATCTGTGTAACAAGTGTTGTAGGTGTGAAACAATATTACAAGTGACCGAAGTAGTAAATTCCAAAGTTCCATTTGCAAAAAAAATTCTCGTCCATCTTCTGTGGGTTATTGCATTTTTAAGATGTAGAATTATTGTATCACACTAGCCATGCACAGGTAGATTGTCTGGCATGTTGTTTTGGTGTTTGGTTTTTAACTTTGTAGTTGTGTCTTTACACAATATAGAAATGTATATTAATGTATATTAATGCTTCTGTATATGAAGCGATCACAATAACACTTATTTTTCACTTAAAAAAATAATAAAAATCAGGCTACACAAAAATTGGTAATTCACAATATGACATCTGAAAAGCACATGAAAGGATGCTGTATGATTTAAAAAAAAAAAAGAACACACTACATGAAGGTCCTAGAGTGTGTAGTCATGAATGTAACCAGAAAAACTTTGTTTTTACAGCCACTCGTTGGCCCATACATATTTTAAAACTTGTTTAATTTTGTTGTAGCATGGCTTGTAGATATGAAGAGCAGGCCCCAAAATGTACTATTTAGCAGATTAGCACCCAGAAAATAAGAATATTTGCCACTGCGCTGTAAGCACACTATTAGATGCTTCTATTTGACTCTCAGATATGAAGTGCACACCCCAAATATACTATTTAGCACCCCAAAAAATTGTGACTTTTTAAAACTCCAATGTAAGCATTAGATTAGCAGCAAAACAATTAGAATGTTTACAACTGCGCAATAAGCGCACTATTTGACACTTCTATTTGACTCTCAAATATAAAGTGCACCGCAGGCCGCAAATGTACTATTTAGCAGATTAGCAGCAAAACAATTAGAATCTTTACAACTGCGCAGCAAGCGCACTATTAGACGCTTCGATTTGACTATCAGATATGAAGAGCATGCCCCAAAATGTACTATTTAGCAGATTAGCACCCGGAAAATTAGAATTTTTACAACTGCGCTGTAAGCGCACTATTAGATGCTTCTATTTGACTCTCAGATATGAAGTGCAGTCCGCAAATGTACTATTTAGCAGATTAGCATCCAGAAAATAAGAATGTTTACCACTGCGCTGCAAGCACACTATTAAATGCTTCTATTTGATTCTCAGATATGAAGTGCACCCCACTAAAAGACTATTTTGCAGTTTAGCACCCAAAAAATGTTAAGTTTTAAAACTGCAATGTGACAGCAGTATTTGACGCTTCTATTTGACTCTCAGATATGAAGTGCACCCCATTAATGTACTATCCCACTAATGTACTATCCCACTAATGTACTATTTAGCACAAACATTTTTTGACTTTTCAAAACCCTGATGTAACCGCGGTATTTGAAGCTTCTGTTTGACTCTCAGATATGAAGTGCACCCCACTAATGTACTAGTTTGCAGAATTCTTTCCTAAGCTGTCCCTATCAGTGGCAGCATCCTCTCCCTACACTAATAAGACCTCATGTGCGTGTGGAGCTACGCTACTCCAGCTTATATATAGAGGCTGGGTCACATGCTGCACTGGCCGATCACAGCCATGCCATAAGTAGGCATGGCTGTGATGGCTTCTAAGGGCACACAAGTCAAACGCTTGTTGATTGGCTGCCCTGCAGCCTTTGAAAACGCGCCATTAAAACGCCGAACACCGAACTCCAACCCGAACACACAGTGATATGTCCGTGTTCGGGTCCGGGGTCCAAAAAACGTAATGTTTGGTAGGAACCCGAACTTTACAGTTCGGGTTCGCTCATCTCTACTAAGGATCACAGTTCCACAAAATGTTCATGTTATTTCTATAAAATGAGGGCAAATATTCTGTGGTTTAGGTTTTATGTTACAGATCTCTTGAAAATCAATCCATGAATGTATAGCATGGTATCAAACAATGTCATCATTAAAAATTACAGTGTTTAAATTGCAGATAAACCGCCCTTACTGACAAGTCGTTTTTCTTTTTGATATGTTACCTCTCGTAACGCTACGTTTCATATCCATATTATTATTGATCCCTGAAATCCTGAATACTAACATAAAACTATCCTTTCAACTAAAAAGACAGGGATTTGATCTTCCCATTTTTCTAAACATAAAGCATGGAAAAGTCAATAGTGCAAATATTTCAAATGTTTTCTCTCCGTTTCAGGGTCACATTAAAATTATTCATAAGTTAAATGCCTGTATATGAGGGGTACCGTTATACTCAGGAGACTTCGCTGAACACAAATATTAATGTTTCAAAACCGTAAAATGTATCACAACAATTATATCGTCTGTGTAAGTGCCATTTGTGTGTAAAAAATGCAAAATATGTCACTTTCACTGACAATATCATCGTTGTAATACATTTTACTGTTTTTAAACACTAATATTTCTGTTCAGCGAAGTCTTACGAGTAAAACAGTACCCCCCATGGAAAGGTTTTATGGTGTCTTGGAAAGTTACAGGGTTAAATATAGTGCAAATTAAATTCCCTAAACTTTTGGCCTGGGTTGTCAGGCAGGTCCTGCAAATTGTAATTAATAAAATGACCTAATTATGTGAAATTATTACATAAATATATACACAGAATTATTATATATATACATGTGTATATATATATATATATATATATATATATGTATATATATATATATATATATACATATGTGTGTATATCTATATATGTATATAATTTTTTAAAATTATTTTTATTTATATAAAGGTATATATATAGTGATATATACGTATATACTTATGTATATAGATATATATTATTTAGTTCTATGTGTATTTTGATATCAATATATATATATATTAATTTTAAAATACAGTTAGAACAAAATTACACATGTATATATATATATATATATATTATTTATTTATGTTTTTAATTTTATTTTTTACGTATTTACATATATATATATATATATATATTTTATATTATATATAAATATATATATAATGATAATTTTATCACATGACAGGAGGCTTCATATTTTGCATAACTTTCTTTACTTTATGCCTCCAGCAGCACAAGTCAATCAATAAACTTTAAACCAATCAGTAACAGGCATCACATCCATATATAAAGCCCTGACAGACACATGACTTCCTCTTTCTTTGCTGCTTACCAGCCAAGGCACAGGTCAGAGTATTTTGCTCCAAACTGTTTTACTGAATATTGCAATTGTCATTAGTTAATCATTTATTGCTTAACTTTCAGTTTGTTCCAAACTGTTTTTATTAATATTGCTATGGTCACTGTAGTTAGACACCTTATGCGAGACATTCAGTTTTAATCCTAACTGTTTTTTCTGGATACAACTTTAATTAAACTTTATTAATTGACTTTCAGTTTGCTCCAACTGTTTTTATTAATATTGCTATGGTCACTTTAGTTAGATTTTTTTTTTTTATTATTTAAATGTTTATTGACAATATTTTTGAAGGGGAGGGGTACAGAAGTAAAAAGAGGAGGGGGGAGGTTAACAGAGGTGGTGCGTGGTACGCGGTACAGCTTGATAATGCTTAATTATGCTTAATTAGTTCACAGCATATAATTCACAAGATATGATACATAATATAATATGGTGCGGTACCTGGGATACAGTATTCACAAGTCTCATACGCCGTTGCTTGATAAATGTAGTGCTTAGTATAGTGCTATGTGCAGCATATATGCCCTGTTTTCTCCTATGTCAAATTGCGATGCACGACTGTCGTGCCACCTGTGCAAGTATCTAGCGTCGTGTGGCGTTTAGGTATGATTGTGTCTTGTGCAAATGCTGTGCTCGGTTTGCGTAGTTTCCGGCTCTCAGTCAAAATCCCAGGGGTGTTGGGTCTTTGGGGGTACTGCTGTGAACGGGTTGGAGGGGGGGGTTTGGCAGGTGTTTGTCCCAGTATGCTATCCATGG